CCCTCCCTCCCTCCCTCCCTCTCTCTCTCTCTCTCTCTCTCTCTCTCTCTCTTTCTCTCTCATAATAGGGCATTTTGATTTATCACACTGGGAGAAAGGTCTATTTGGGGAGTAGAAAACACATTTTGAACTGCTGAGCTACTACAAAAAGTAGAGGGACAGGAAACCCCTAAGCAGGGCAGTAGATGAGTGTCTTGATGAATGCGTATTCTTTTTGCTTGTTTGGTTTAATCTGGATCTTTAGAATGCTGTTATTGATCTGTCCTGTTTACTGTGAAGTCTCAGGTCACTGTGGCCTTGCAGAATAATAGCCTGTCATGTGACTCAGGAAGCAGACCATGATTCCTGGTCTTGCCATTTGTTAGGGAGGTACAGAGGTGTTTCAGCAGTTTCTAGTGGTAAGATCCAGAAACGGGGAAAAGTCCTGCAGAGAGAAACACCCTCCACCCCAATACAAGCACTTGTGGAGTTTCAGCTGCTGCTGGTCTCTGAGAAGCAGATCTTGTTAATGGCCAGAAAGCTGCAGCAGGAGGATGGCTGTAAGTTCTCAGTGTGCATATGCATTCATTGGATTGCTTTCTTTATCCTTAAAGGTGAGGAAAGGGATGCGTGAACCTAATTTTGTGACCTCATCCCTGCCAGGATGGGCTCTTTTAAATTAAGTCTAAAAATATGCATATGTATTTAGCATTGATAAGATATTTATCATCTTTTTATTTAGAAGATAGTAAAATTACGAGAATAAAATAATCATTATTAACAAATGTAGTTCTGTTCGGAATGATGAGAACGAGAACAGAGACTGATTGGTTCCTAGAAGGCAGGGCCTGCAGATCTTTAATGCTGCTGTGATGTGCAGCCTGGAGTTTTAACTTTACTTAGAGATCTTGAAAATAATTAATTATAATCCTTCAATGAAAAAGCGTGTGTTTGTAATTGTCACTATTGTCCTCAGATTTACAGAAGAATGCTCTAGTCGACAAATAAAGCATAGCTGTGAAAGCTTTGAGCTGGGCATGTGCCTCAGTCCGGGGAGTGTTTGCCTGTGTGAATGAAGGCCCAGGTTCCACCCTCAGCACCATGGACAGCGAGTGGGTGTGATGTTGGTGGTATTAGCACTCAGAGGCAGGAGGGTTAGAGTCAAGGTTATCTTTGGCTGTATAGGGAATGAAGACTAGCATGGTGTACCTGAGACCTGTCTCCAAAGAAAAACAATATGTCAGGGAAGACATCTGAATCCATCAGTAGCTACACTGGCCATTTGAAAGTTGTATATCAGATCTGAGTTTGAGGCCAGCCTGGTCCACAGAGTGAGCTCCAGGACAGCAAGGGCTACACAGAGAAACCCTGTTTCAAGAGACCAAAAGAAAGAAAAAAAAAAGATTTATTTATTAAACTATAGCTATCAAGGAGTAAAGAGGAGCAAGCAGCCCACTGTAGACAGCACTTTATTCTGAGTGGAGGATGCAGGATTTCTACAGTACGGCAAAGGAGGCCTGAGGCCAGCACTTTAGTGCACATTAGTCTACTACGTCAGGTATCTGTGCCCAGCATTGCTGTCTCAGAGTTACATTGATATCATTTCATTCAGAACCCCCCATGGCATTTCTTGTGTTGGTTAATTAATTAATTCATCAACCACTGAAACCCGGTCTCATGTATGTTGTCCTCACTGGCTTTGAACCAAAAGCTCCTCCCATCTCAGCACCACACGGAGGAAGACCATAGGTGTGTGCCACTGTGGCCGTTGAGTAAACATGTTTAGCTTCAGTTTTGAGCAGTGTGGCCTACAAAGTATTTAATCTAATTGTGATATTGTGGAAGGATGATGTAAAAAACGATCTTAAGACAACTTATTTGTGTTTTCCTCACAGCTCAGAGAAGCAGTTGTGCTTCCTGTTTGTTAGAGAAACCACGTAGATGCCAGGGATCATAGATAAAGATGTTAGTTTATCTATGGGGTATGGCAACAAACTGCAGATGGAAGGGGAAATAGAGTTTGTTGAGCTTGTATAGCAGCAACGGTTAAAATAGAAAAAAAAATGCATTTGATGCTATTGTTTACATTAGCATTTATTAATTTTATGATAGTGGTTTTGTTATATTTTTATGCACGTATACAATGTGTTTTGATCACATTTACCTTATCTATGGTTCTTGAAACTTTGGTTGGATTTCTAGCATGCTTCCATAAACAGTCCTGTAATTTTTTTCTCTCTAGTTTGCTGTTACTTTTCTTGGGAGGTTTTAAGATGCCTGCATTATTTCTTTTTTTTTTTTTTTAACAGACAATCTCTATCCAGCAGAAAAAAATGATTCCACTTTCTTCTGAAATTGCGTCATCAGCCCTCCCTGCGGATTATCTGGTTGAAATTAATAAAATTTTACTCACTTTGGATGACATTGAATTATCGCTCAATATTCCTGAGCTGAACACCACTGTGTGCGAAGACCTCTCTTTCCAAGAAGACTCTCTGAAGGTAAAAATCTAAGTGCTGAAAGGTAGTAGCCATGGTTAATAGATACAATGTAAGGATTCCCTCTGTCCTTTGGTCCTCCCTCCCCTTCTTCCCTCCCCTTTTTTCCCTTTCCCCTCCCCTTTTGGTTTATTAAAGGCAGGGCCTGCTTGCATAGCCCAGGCTAATTTGATGTTCACATCCCTCTCCCTTTGCCTGTTGGGAGCTGGGGTTCCAGGCACGAACCACCATGCTCAGATGCTATTGTACTTACTTAAGATGATCAAAATCCTTGATTGTTCCAAGTCAGTGATACTATGTGTAAATAGTGAAGCTTTACTGTGTTCACTGGAGGGATATAACAATTTTTTTTCAATTAAAAAAATGTGTGTTTAGATTTTTCTGTATGCACAGTTATTTGCAACAACAGAGACCTTATTTTAATCAGATAGAAACTTGATTGTCACTTGTGTCAAATGATGTCAGGTCATCCATATTGATTTAAGATTGGCTAGTTGCCCGGGTGTGGAATTGCATTATTGATTGCGAGTTCAAGTTTTCAGTCCTTTGAAAGTTTCTTTTCCATATAGTTGATTGCACTTCTGTATAAAATCATAGTAAAATCTCTGAAGGAACTGGCATATGTGATGGATTTGGTAACTCATTTTCTCATTTAAGCTACTGTGATTAGGCATTTAAAACTCTAATTCCAGATCTAAGCCTTTCCTTACCTTCATCGAATGTTCTTAAAGCCTTTCCTACATCCTGTCCACAAGCCAGTTAGAATGTCAGGGGGGGTGCTTCCCCATCCACCAGTGTGACGGTATTCCTCACATTTGGGCTAATATAGATTTTTACATAGAAAATTCCTCAGTTTGCACATGCAACAGTAATTAGCCTCACTATTATTTTAAATGAATATTTTATGTGTAAACCTTTATCTGTGATTCCGTTATTTTTTATTACTTTACTGATTTCTGTTTTTATATGATGGAATGTTGGCAGGATATCAAAGATCAGCTGGACAGACTTGGAGAGCAGATTGCCGTTGTTCACGAGAAGCAGCCGGATGTGATCCTCGAAGCGTCTGGTCCTGAAGCCATTCAGATCAGGGACATGCTCAGTCAGCTGAATGCGAAATGGGACAGAGTGAATAGAATGTACAGCGATCGGAAAGGGTAGGTGGGAGTCAAACGGATGTTTACGTAATGTGAGGGCCAGTTCCTGGGTCCCTGAAAGCGTCCATGTGTGTGCACGTCAGGATCGTGGAAACCAGTCTACATCTTTTCTAATATGACCTGCTTTATAAATAGATATGAGCTCCATCCTTAAAGAGAAATGTGACCACAGGCCACGACCATCTAGAACATAATATCTTGATAGTATGGGAGAGTACCTTTAGTTTCAGCATAAGGAAAGTCTCTCTCTTTAATTAAAAGGGATTTTATTAATGTTCCTTTCTTCTGGATGCCATGATTAACGTGAATGAGGAGCAGAGGCAGCTTCAGATAATTTGAATCCATATTCACCAGCTTCAGATAATTTGAATCCATATTCACCAGCTTCAGATAATTGGAATCCATATTCACCAGCTTCAGATAATTGGAATCCATATTCACCAGCTTCAGATAATTGGAATCCATATATCACACCAAGTTTTCTTTCTTTTTTTTTTTGCTCCATAAAGTCTTCTGCCTAATAGAATGTTTTGGAGCTTTTCTCTTAGTAGCCTTTGCACAGGGGCCTGTGAATAGGGGAAAAGAGTAATGGGCAAGATTTCTTTTTGGATTACCGTGAGATAGCCCAATGAAAAGCACTGTACAACAGGGAGGTTATCACATGTAACATGCGGGGGCCTTGCTTGTTTGTTGGGGTTTTTGTCCCACCCAGTACCCCACAACTGTTGACCCCCAAAGAAAATCACATATAGGTCTTCATAAATTATAAGCTGATTAGCCCATTAGCTCTAGCCTCTCACTGGGCTAACTCTCACATCTTGATCTATGTTATTTCTGATCTATGTTAGCCATGTGTCTCCGTACCTTTTTCAGTGGGGCAGATCACATCCTGCTGCTTTGGTGGTCTGGGCAGGAGTGGGAGCAGTCAGCTTCCTCCTTCCGAGAATTCTCCTGTTCTCATTGTATCATTTCTACTTCTTGTCTGGTTTCCCGCCTATACTTCCTGCCTGGCCAATCAGCATTTACTTAAAACATGATTGACAGAATACAAACAATTTTCCTGCACCAATCACAGAGTAATTCACTGGAAATATTCAGATGCAAAAGCAAGGGATCAAACTGTCAAAATATTCTAACTCTACAATTCATGTGCCTGTTCAGTCATTGAAGAAATAGAACTCATCTTTGTTGCTATGTAGATTTTAAAAACAGCCTCTTTGTGTAGTTAGGGAGCATCCTTATGTTCATCCTTATACATATTTTTTCTTAGATCTATGATAGTAGTTACTTTGCTTATTGCTGATACAAATACCTAATCAAAGCAACTTAGAGAAGGAAGGTTGTTCTGGTTTATGGATTCAGGGGATTCAGTTTGCATGATAGGCTGCAGGAGGAGGCCATCTGGTCACATCACATCAGCAATCAGGAAGTGAAGAGAGACAAGGAAGTGGGGTAGAATAAAACCTCCAAGCCTCCTAAGAGGTATGCACTTCCTCCGTGAGGCCCTGTCTTTTTACGGTTCTGCCCATCCCAAACTGTACCAACAGCTAGTGATCATGTATTCAAGCACGTGGGCCTATGGGGCCACGTTTCACATTTAAATCATAACACTTGGTTCTTTGTAAAGGGAGACTGCACTTTTGCTCTCCGGCTGCCTGGACCCATTTAGTCACATAGAAACTGTATTAATTACAACACTGTTTGGCCAATGGCGCAGGTGTATTTCTAGATAGCTCTTACATCTTAAATTAAGCCATTTCTATTAGTCTATGTATTGCCACGTGGTCATGGCATTGCCTCATTTTCTACATGTATTCTTTCCTTGGAGGCTGACTGGTGTTTATTTGACTCTGCCTACTCTCTCTCTGCATCTCTATTCAGATTTCCCACCTGGCTTTACTTGGCTAAGCTGTTGGCCAAAACAGCTTTATTTGTTAACCAATAAAAGCAACACATATTCAGAAGGACATACCACATTAGTTACTAGATAAAGACAGTTAAAAAATGAAAAGACATTGAAACTCTCTCTGTATTATAACATGAAGTTGACTACTGTGTCCTGCCAGTGGTATTTATGAACATGCCCTTCCTTTAGAACTCTGGCTAACTTTGACAAGACTATTTCACCAGTATTACAGTGATGGGTTACATTGCTGTCTTATATTCTCTTTGTGGTCAGTGGGATTTGAAGATTCTTCACAGCAGTGTGGCTCATCTTTTAATCCAAGGGATTGCTACTTATTGTTTCAGAATGTTTTGCTTCCTTAAAGATATTATGTATATTTTTTGTTTACTGTGGGACTACTTGCAGTCTTTTGTATGTCACTTAAACTCCAGTGTGCCCTTTGACATACAACAAATTTAGTTTTGTAAAATTATATCTGATAGTTTTTTCTTTTGTGATTGCATAAAATTAACCTTTAAAAAAATGTATCATTTCCTTACATTTTCTGTGTGTGGGTAAGCAATTGTATATGTTTTGAAAACAATCTTAGTTGCTTGATTTGAAATTTCCATTTAATGAGCCATCAGAATTAGATTTTGGAATGTATTATGTGTTACGGTCCAGCTCAGTATCTGTAAACTCCAACTTCAGTATCCTGAGTACTATCCATACACCTCTACTTTTCCAACAATCCTTGGGCAACTCTCTCTTCCCCCCCCTTCTCTGTGTGTGTGTTTGTGTGTGTGTGTGTGTTTTGAGACAAGGCTTCCCGTGCCCTGAGCTCGTTCTGTCGACAAGACTGGACTCGAATTTGCAGAGATCCACCTGCCTCTGCCTCCCAAGTGCTGAAATTAAAGGTGTACACCACCACCACCCAACGTCCTTGGACAACTTTTTGTCTATATTAAACACTGACTGGCTCTGTATTGGCTCATTTTTCTTAAACAAATGACCAATTTTTCCCTAAGAACTTTTTATTGCACTTATTGTTTGTTGGTAATAATGTCATAATTTATAATTATGTTATTTTTATATTAATTTAGCTCTGCTTCTTATGCTTTATTATGCCATCAATTTTAGTTAAATACCGTATTTTCATTTTTAAATTGTAAATTTTTTCATCTAACTTAGTAAAATTTCTGTTAAATGTTCTGGAATGATTATTCTTTCCTTTGGGTTTGTTCTAACTTTAAATGAAGCCTTCAATCAGTAGTAAAAGCACATACTTTTTAGGAGGATAGAATAATTAGTAATGTTTTTATGTGTCATAGTATTTAAATGGTAAGGGTACAAATTTGGGTAGATTAAATTGCCTACAATTAATCAAAAGTGGCTTTGTAAGTCAGAGAAGGCAAAAATCTTTTTAAAAAGCAGAGATAGTGTGCAGAGAGGAGGCAGAGAAATGGCGATGGAGTTTGCACACTGTTTTGCATTTGGCATGAGGCTCAAAAGGTAATTAGTAAACGCAACCTACCTTGAAATGTTTTGCAAAACCAGAAGCTGTGATTTCACTCAATTTAAACTTTAAATGAGATGGTATTGACTGGCACTATTATTATTGATTATTGTTATGATTATTAAAGAAAACATGTTTCCAGGTTGTTCTGCAAAGCTGAGAAGCTCCTCTGATTCTGTTTCTTGTGCCCCAGGTCTTTAGCCAGGACTGTGGAGGAATGGAGGCAGTTCCACCATGACATGGAGGACCTCACACAGTGGATATCTGAAGCTGAAGACCTCCTGGTAGATACCTGTGCTCCAGATGGTAGCCTGGACCTGGAGAAAGCCAGGACACATCAACTGGTGAGTGCTTCCTGTGTCAGGAGGGATGTATGGGAAGGCTGGATGCTTGTTTCGATGTGGTTGCTAAGATATGTTACAGAAGTTGGAAACAGATCTATTGTTTTTGTTTCACATGTGCATACATCACTGTAGTTTTTAATCACTGTCAGTTTTTGGTTCTACTCCTAGTTCCCAGTTTTGAAATTCCAAGAGCTTTGACCACCGTACAATTTAGAAAGCTCTATGCTTTCTGCCACTAAACACATAGGCATCCCATTTGTGTGTTCATACATGTCATTGATAATTGTTTATGAAAGTACGCCATCCTCGATGGACAGGGCAGCCTCTTGTGGGACTCAGCCTTGTGAATATATAGCACAACAACAAAGTCAACTCTTCCCGACACTAGGTCACTAAAGAGAGTAATGGGACAAACACACGTTCAGTCTTCCATTGCCAAAGGTGTTTCTTGCCTTACTACGTTTTCATAATGTATCTTCTGTGAACAGTTCATGGGGAGTCAAAGCAGTGCCCCTCGCCCCTGCTTGTCAACAGGGTATGCATTTTTCTTGAAAATTGGAGTGACAGATAAGTATTTAGACTTGACTTTAAAGTAGTCTTTTAATCTGTGTCTTTAAAGCTTTTGCAGCCTGAGGCAGCATCTAACATCTCAATAAAATGCACGTTGAGGATTGTTTATAGATGGCTGCACATAAAAGTTGTATTTGTGCACATATATTTGTGCACATGTATATGTAAGTGCATGTATGTGCACATGCATGTGAGTGCATGTGTGTGTGTTACAAGGTTCTACATACTTATGCGTAAGATGATAGGCAGTTCACTTAAATCAAATGTGATTGATGCTCCTGTTTGGACGTAAACAGGTGATATTTGTTTCTTGTTATTAAGGTGTCCTGTGTCAGTATATTTTGCCTGACGACATTCACGAGGATAGTTTCAATTTTCAGATAGCTTTCACTTCCACGTGTCCCTGGAAATGTAATTAACTTGTTCGAAATCATGTTGTCACAAACATAAAAAGCCCTCCCAGGGATTTGTTTCTGAAGCTCTTCAATTGATGCCGCACTATGGGGTGCATGTAAGGTATCTCGAAAATTTGATTAAGTGGAGGAAATTGATGGTGTGTAATCTGTCATAGGAACTAGAAGAGGGCATCAGCAGCCACCAGCCCAGCGTGGTGGCTGTAAACCAAACTGGGGAGGCCATTGTGCACAGCCTCCGCCCCTCAGATGCAAGTTTCCTGAAGGATAAACTGGCGGTTTTGAACCAGCGCTGGAGCAGCCTTGTAGCTGAGGTGAAGGATCGGCAGCTCAGGTGATAATTCAGTTCTGAGCAGTTGAGGAGAGGGGGGACATTTTTATATAAAATACATGCTATCTGATATAATACCATGATATAAGTACTGGTGACTTTTAAACATCTGCTGTCCGTGTTCTTTGTGGTTGTTTTTAGGTTGTCTAGAAAAGCTCACTCTTCTGTTCAGATGTCATATGTATAAAACTTTCTTTGGGACCTGGGGTGATGGCTCAGTCAATAAAATGCTGGCCATGCAAGCATGGAGCCTAGTTCAGATCTCTGGTACCCATGTGGCATGTTGGAATGCTTTTTCTGTTGAAAACAGGTTTCTTTGATGAGGGATGAGAATTACACTTACCTAGGGGAGTAAGTATAAATACTGAATGATGCTGGCTTAGCTAAGTGACAACTGTAAGTTAATGTCCAGGTCCATAACTCACCAGCTCTCGGTAGTTGGCCAGGTTTCCAGTACCATTTTGCTGAGCGGGCCTTAAGTCCAGTAAGAGAGCTGCTGGCTGCACAGCTGGATTATACCACTATTGCATGCACCCTTAGAGTTACCTGTGCCGTGCCGGCCACCACAGCACTTCCAGTCACTGTCTCCCCTCTACAAAGGAAAGCTATGACGTCAGGCAGTTTTACGAGGACTAAATGAGACAGTATTTGAAAAATATTTATGTCTTAAATTTTCATGGTGAACACTTAAAATATCCATTTCTTAGAATAGTTTCTCTTGAACTCATTCTCTTGGTGTGTTCTTTCTGTATATTTATTGCTAATGGTCAATTAATTTAATCAATTTCATCAACATTCTCTGAGCTTTATGTTTAACACTGGGGATTTAAGTATCACAAATAACTTAGACTGAGAAGATCAAATTTAAAGGGGAAAGACAGTGTGATTAAAGCCAACATCCGCATGAAGCTGCTGCCACAGAGACAGGAGGGATGGGCTGTGGAATTTGGCGTTGATGAAGAAGGATGCTGAAGCTGAATTTCGAGATATTTGTAACAGTTTCCCATAAATTCTTTCTAGGGTGAGCCTTTGTGGTAGTTAGCTTTCTGCTGCAGTAGCACTCAACTGAGTTGAGTTATCTTATGAGGAGAGAGGCTTGATTTGGGGTCACAGTTTTGCAGGTGTCAGTGTGTGAGTATTTAGTTCAATTGCTTTGGCCTCGTGTTGGGACATCATGGCAAGGGTGCCCACTAGAGCAGATGACTGCTTCATGACCAGGAAACAGAAGAGGTAAAAAGAAAATGAGGCTCCTATGACAGATTCTCCTTCAAGGTCACACCCTCCATGAACTGAAGACTTCCTACCAGCTCACCAGGTTTTGTTTAATTTCCACCATTGCCCGATAGCCTTAGGGGCCTTTGGGGGATGTCAGAGCTACACTGCACTAACCAGGAGACGTGGGAGGTGTGAGTACCACAGCCATGGCACTGGAGAGATGTGCAGAGGAAGAGGAAACGCTTCTGAATTTAGGTGCTCTGCTCATTCCTGCCGCTGCTGGGATAGGAACAGCAGCTGCAGAAATTCCCCCACGATTTTCAGATGGCTGTCTGTGGAGTCTGGTAGTCATTCCTCCCCAAAGTAACAAGATAACTTTGACACATAATTTTACTTAGTTTTTGGAAGTGCAGTGAACAATACATCCCTTTTCTTAGCTTCTGATATTTTCACTTAAGCAGTATTTGTTTTCATGAATTCATGGTAAACTTCACTCTTGTTCTGTAATCTATTTGTCTTGGGGCCACCTAGGATCTCCAAGAGGTCAGCGTCATTGAGCATAACCACACTGATCAGTTTGTTTTTGTATTGAGTGCCTGTAGGTCAATAGTCACACAGTTTTACAGTTTATGGTGCTATTCCTAAATAATCAATTCCTAGTTTGAAAACATGAAATTAGTCATGTTTTCAATTAACTAATTTCAACTAATTCATGAATTAGTTATGAAACACTGGAAATTTAATTTTTAATATTTCTGGGACAAAGTATTTTGGGTATCTCCAAAGTTGTTAGATGAAATATTTAAAACTTATTTTATTAAAGCTTCAATCATCATCATTAAGTGCTTCATTTTTTTTTGAAGCTTCATTCCTCCTTTTTAAAACTAAATTCATTTTTAAGGAATTTTTATTGTTTTAAAAGTATTTCAATAGTACTAAATATTATACTTTTCCAATATGACTATTAGATACTTATTAACTAAAATTCTGTTATATCTACTGTATCATCATTTTATGGTTTTTATGGTTAAAAATACAAAAGGTAGCATAGACATGAATTCCCGCTAGGGATGGCACACTGTCATTTATTAAGGTGCTGCATGCAGTTTGGAATCAGCATCCAACTGTAGTAGCTTTAAAAATAACGACGCCACTAAGCTCCTAACAGCCTTCAAACTCTTTTCTTTTTTATATCGACAGTCTTATTTGTCACATGGGTTCTGATCATCCTTGCGTCTTCTGACAGATGGCTGGTGTTCCTGGATGTTATTCTTACACCATTGAAAAGAACTAATTAGGGAGTCAGAGTTCTGTTTCCCTATTCTGCTCACTGCTTCCCTGGCGCCCTTTAAGACTCGGGCTGTATTTCCCCTTGATATTTCTCCTTTTCATAACTCACAGTTTGTATTTCTATTAATGAACCCACCAAGATATGTATGTGTATTTGTCTTACACTTGTAGAAGATTTCAGTGCTCAGTTCTTTTCCTCATTCATATTTTTGCTGTCATATATATGGAACGGAGTAATACTTGCTGCCGTCGGTCCATGGAGAACTCAGAGAAATTTATGACTTTTTCCTTATTATTTTATACAGGGACATTTTCACTTTTCCTTAAGTAATACTTTATTATACAATAATAGCTGGCTTAAAAAATTTCTTATTAGCTTGCCATTTAATTTTTTCAGATGACAAGATAAGATTTTCTTTTTCCAGTGTGTCTGAATTTAATTAAGGAAAAAAGATGCTTTAGTCTTATATATAGTCTTTTGCATGGTAGTCGGTATACATGGCAATTAATATTAATTTAAAACATTTAATGTAATTACTTTCTGTTTGTTTTATGGGGTCTGGATTTCCAAAACAAATGCATACTGTTCTGCTTAGTGATTTCTGTCAGCATTTTCCATGCCGTTTTCTCGTAGGCTAAAAGGAGAAAGTAAGCAAGTGGCTGGATACAGGAGAAGGCTGGATGAGCTTCTCTGCTGGCTGACAAGGGTGGAGAACTCTGTGCAGAAGAGCTTCTCCATGGACCCAGAGGAGAATCCACAGGAATTAACAGTAAGGAGCGTGTATCTGGATTTCCAGAGGCTTCTGATGCTTTTTTCCTCTTAGGAATACGATAGTTGTGGCTGAAGCGGAAAGGGAAATGAAGCTTTGTCCTTTATGGAAAGTGTGGTGAGAGATTTTTTTCGTTTTTTAACGAGCAGCCATCATTTCGTTCATGCAGAGATCAAGCAGAAGACAAGTCGCCATGACCTTACTATTAGGTTCAAAGAGTTAGTAACTTAGAATACAATACAGCTACAAAGTATAGTTTTAAACTTTTAGGTTTAGAAGGAAATTGCTGCTTGTTATTTATCGCAGTGAAATTTTACAGCAAAATTCTGTGTTGTGCAATTAACTCATCGCAGCTTGAAGTAGGCTTAGCGGAACCATCCAGCAATCAGATCTCCTTCGTTGATTTGTAGGCAATGGGAATTTATAGCAGTTGTACACCTGCACATGTGCACATGCATGCACACACACACACTGTATAAAAATATGTGATGATAGATAGATATCACAATACCAAATCTCTGTGAATACCCATGTCCACAAGCATTTGTAGTTTGTGTTCAAAATCGAGACGTTGACAGTAGCAGAATCTATGTTCCGGAGGAAATCATGGAACCGACAAGATGACTCATCAGATAAAACATTCACCTCGATAGTCTGATGACTTCATTCAATCCTTTACCCTTGTAATAAATCTGGATGTGATAGTCTGCCTCTGTAGTATGGCATTCCTACAGCCAGATGCTAGGTAGAGACAAGAGAATTATCCAGAAGCATAAGGGCCAACTAGCCTGGAGGACTCAGTATAAGAGAAACCCCACTTAAGTAAGGTGGGAGAAGAGAACTGACTTACAAAACTCATCCTCTGGTCTCCAGATGTATGCACATGTGCACGCGTGCGTGTGCACACGAATACACTTAATACTAACATACTCGCGTGTGCACATGCGCATGTGCACACAGACACACTTAAAATATCAGCATCAAAAGATCGTGTTTGAATGAGAAAATATGTACACACGCTTTATAAATCTATATTTAAAAGGTATTTACCTACTTTGCGAAGTTTGGCTCATAGAGAAGTATGGTCCAAGTTGCAAAAGAAAGTTAGAAATGATGGGAAATATGGGGCAAACGGTTATTAATTTTTTTCCCTTGATGTATGAGAATACCCAATATTTCTACTTTACCTACAGAGTCAATCATTTTCTTTAAATGTCCTGTTTGTAAAGTATTCGAAAGATTTACAGAGGATAGAACAACATGAAGGTGGAAAGGTGGCGATCGGAAATGAACCTTAACAATGTAATATATTATGATCCTGGGCAGCAAGGAAATGAAAACAAGAAGACATGTGTTGGGCCTGGAGGGATGGCCCAGCAGGTCAGAGCACTAACTGCTTTTGCAGACGACCTTAGTTCGGTTTCAGCACCACATCAGGCAGGCTGCTTGCAATTGCCTGTAGCACTAGCTTCAAGGAATCTGATGCCTTCTTTTAGTCTCTGCATTCCATGTTCATATCTGCTTTCCAGCAATACATCTAATTAGAAATAATAGTAAAAGTATGTGTTTGTACACACATATACACGAACTGGCATGAGTCTCTGGTGGTGAGAGTATGTTAACATTTTCAGCAAGCTTGCTTTTTATATAAGAATCCCGAACCCAGAATTTATAGGAATAGTTTCTTAAGAACGTTCTTAGTATACTTCTGTAACCTTCCCTTAGGACCTTCTAACCACCTTTCTTCTGACGATACTTTCAGGACTTGGCCCAAGAGATGGACGTTCAAGCTGAAAACCTCAAATGGCTGAACAGAGCAGAACTGGAAGTGCTCTCAGATAAAAATCTGAGTTTGCGCGAAAGAGACGAGCTTTCAGAAGGTTTGAGGAACGTGAACATGACGTGGAACAAGGTGTGCATGTGGGAATTCTGTAACATTCCTCGTGTCTATTGACTTTTAGAATGATGCTTGCTTGTGTGTGTGGGTGTCTGTGTGTGTGTGCATGCATCAGAGTGAGGGAGGGAGAGAAAGAGAGAGAGAGAGAGAGAATGAGATGGGAATAACTTTTTTATGGTTTTTTGAGACAGGGTTTCTTTGTAGCTTTAGAGCCTTAGAACTAGCTCCTGTAGACCAGGCTGGCCTCAGACTCACAGAGATCTGCCTGCCTCTGCCACCTAAGTCCTGGGATTAAAGGCGTGTGCCACCACCACCCGGCTACCCCAATATTCAATAAAATCAATATCAGTAAAAGTTGAGGGGCCAACTTTTGGGAGTCAATTCTTCTCTTTCACTGTAGGTTCCGGGGATCAAACTCAAGTTGTTAAACTCAGGTTGTCAGCCTTGGTGGCAAGCACCTTTCCCAGCTGAGCCATCTTGCTGGCCCATATTTATTGATTTTATGAGTAAAAAATCATTCTCTTGTTGCGGCTCTCTGTGTGCAGATACAGGCCCCGTATCCTTGGGCTTATTCAGCTCTTTATATAATTCCTTATTTCTTCACTCATCATCACATGTATTCTTAAAGAATGCTTTATATTGTATACTGGATTCTTTGTGTACAATAATATCCTAGGGGATCTGTATATTATGTAGCACACCAAGTTATGAATGTCTTTTGGAACTTGGCAATAAAATGCCAGTAATTGCACTCTGAAAACAAAAACCCAAAAATAGCTTCTTGATGTCGAACATGACTTTCCCACGTCTGTTTATTTTTGGTGATATTATTCCTTCAGTATGTATTTATTATTAGGACCCCGTGGAATTTAGTGACATCTGACAAAATGGGAGCTGTTACCTTTTGTGATTACTTTGTTTTGCAGTGGAAATGATGAAATCCTAGGGTTCTTTTTATTTTGACTAGGTACCCACTGCGTGCATGAATGTGGCCTATGTGAGCCATCGAGTGGATGCGTCCTGCCCTTGGCTCTCAGTCGCTTTACTCTCTTTTCAATCCTATCAAACTGGAAGTCATGGCAAATGTGTTGGCCTACATCTTTAGTTCTGACATTTGGGTGGCTAAGGCAGGAGGAGGATATAGTCAAAGCCAGCCTTGGTTGCATAGTAAGATCCTATCTCAAAAAGAAGAGAATCAGAAGAAAGAAGAGGAGGAACTAGAAGAAGGAAGTAGAATTATCCTATATCTATCTATCTATCTATCTATCTATCTATCTATCTATCTATCTATGCCTTATAGGCCCAGTCGCTGTGATTATGAGTTATTGCCCAGGAGGAGGTCGCTTTATTATCTGCATCTCTGGCCTGGACCTTTCTGTGTACTCTACACTTGTATGTTCAGTGGCCTGTTCTATGTCTTTGCTTGGGTTATCTAATAGGTGTTGCAAAACTTAAATTGAACTCCCGGTTTCTACTTTACTCATGGACCCTAGGACATAACTCATCCCTCAGTTAATGATATGCCATTATTTTTGCTGAAATCGGAAATGCTGAGTCATTATTACAGCACATAAATTATATATGTAAATTATATATGTAAACTATATCTCAGTAAACTCAGTAAAGAGACAACTCTTTCCTTTCTTGCTCTCTCTCTCTCTCTTTCTCTCTCTGAAGCCACTGTCATCGGCTTCTTCCATGTACTTGATGGATGGATGGATGGTTTGAAGGATAGGTAGATGGCTACATGTGATAAGGCCAATGAGGAGAAAATTTTGATCTCTAGATGTTGATTGGCCATGAGTGTCTCTGCACAATTGTTTCCGCTTTCCTTATACTGGGAAAAAAAATAGCATTTTTTTTTGTATTGATACTGACTTGTTGTAAGCAATCATCACCTCTGGGAAAGCTCTCCTCCGGGTCTTTTCTGCTACCCTTCCTCAGCATCATTTCAGCAAAGTAGCCCAAGCTTTGTTAAGATATGTGATGCCAACCCAGTAACTCCCCAGAACGATGTCCGCTAACGATTTTCCGTCTTCCTGGGAGGAAAGCTGATGTCTTACTGTGATTTATAAGGCTACTCGTAGGCTGCCTTGCTGTTACCTCTGACTTTATCAGATGCTCTCTTTCTTGCCCTCGTCGCCAGACAGATTGGCTCCTGTGTCACTTGCTGAATCCATCTGTATGTATTCAACCAGGACATTCATTTTTATTGAATGCAGAGTATGTTGGTTGGTATTGGAGAGAAAAGGATATGGCGGTCAGTTTGAGAACACGGTGCTAGACAACACTGAAGCTTCCATTACTGCAGGAATTGAATTAATATAGATTTTAATATTGCCCACTTTGTAGAATTATGGCATGCAAGACAAAGCAATGCTTACTGTGTGGGGAATCTAAAACATGTTAGGAACCCCTATTCTGAAATATTTAATTTATTTGATTCTGTTATATACCTAGTGGGTCTCTGCTACATCCCTAGTTCATGTAAGGAGCCATTTTAAGAGTGAGGAGCATAGCAAAAATGATATTGCTTATCACCTAGTGGGTTTGTCATGGATAAGACAAAGAAACCAAAAATTAAAGCTTGGAAGCTATAATTTATAAGGAATTTATAAGGACACTTAGCACACTTCAGGGTAGCCAAGGAAGGCTTGTGTGGAGATCAGATCTTCTCTAGGCTAACTTATAAAAGATGAGTAAGCACTGCTCAGGTGAGGGGTCAAGGAATGGACTTTGTAGGGGGGGAAACACAGAAAGTGGGAGGGTCTAGAATAGGCACTATGAAGTGCATATGTGTCCTCGAAGGATATACAGTAGACACCTGAGTGATAACTCTAGAGACCAGATCCTGTACATTGACTGTGTCTGGTACTCAATGGAATTTGAGCTCTGTCTTGAGAATTCTCCACTTTGAGGGAAAGGGACATCTCTTGTTGTTTTTGAAAGATTCCATAGCTATCCTGCAGGGAAGGATGGAGCCATCCTAAGAATAGATACAGAAAGATCAGGTAGGGTCTCGAGAACTGCTTACGAAGGCCATTTCAGGCAAGATAGAGACTGTGAACTGAAATTTGGATGTGTTTGCTCATTCATTTGACAGAGAACTGAATGGAAGTGATATATTATTGGGGGAAGGGTCCTTAGCCTCTGAAAATTCTGTAGGGAATGGAGAGTGAGATGGCATTTGATGGATGAACAGAAAAGTGAGCTTGTGAAGGAAACTTAGAGACATAGGGAGAAAGTTAGACTTATAGATGTGTAGCTAGAACTTACTCTCCCATCTGCCAGTTCCCGAATAACCACTCTGCGGCTTCATATTAATTCCAAACTGTTTGGCCAATGACCCAGTCTTATTACTAACTAGCTTTTACCTCTTAAATTAGCCCATTTCTATTAATCTATGTATTGCCACAATGGTGGTCATGTTGTTACCTCACATCTTGCTTCTTTGATGTCTCTTGGATGCTGCCTTCTTTCTTCCTGTCTCTGTTTAAATTTCCCACCCTAGGTATGTACTGCCCTGTGATAAATCAAAATGGCTTCTTTATTAACCAATGGTAATAAAAAGTATTCCCAGCATACAGAGGGGGCATCCTACATCACAGATGTTTACAGGAATTTAGTTGCAAGGAAAGTAGACAGCTTCAGTGGTGCAAATGGGTCACAGCTGAGCATTGGTTGGCATTCTTGAACTTAATGTCCGGGAAGGTAAGGGCTCCAATAAGATTACAGTGCATAGCGAAGGTGGAGATGCAAGCTTAGGTATTAACCAAGAGAAAGCTGACTGAGCTATCATTTAGAAGAGTGGCTGTCTTTCGAACATACAATCATCTTTACTTTCTCTGTGCTTGCCTTGATGCTACAGATATGCAGAGAAGTGCCTAGCATACTGAAGACACGCACCCACGATCCCTGCTCTGCCTCACAGACAAAGATTACTGGTAAGATATCACTTATTCTTTAGGGATTATTTTTATCAGCATGGATTTACAGGATGAGATTACTGTTAGAATAATGCTGGGGGGAAAAGTTAAGCAATTTCTGTTTATAATCCTGAATTCATAATGTTTGGATGCTCAGTGTGGGAAATCATCAGTTTGGTTGAAGAGATTTTTTATTCCCTGAGACGAGAAATAGCAGGATGGTCATGGGTCCTGCTCAGTGAAGGAGAGAGGCTAGGTGGAAAATGTTACGTGAATTTAATGGAAAGATGCAGCAGTCTTCAGATATAACCTGCCACAATGACATACGTGTAGTGTGTTTAATTTGTCCCTCATCATGGGGTGGGGTTTTGAAAGCTCCAACTCCCAGGAAATCATGCACTAGCAAACATTATTCCCTTAGATATGGAGAACATTGTGTGTTTTCTCATAATTTCTGCTTCTTTCCTTCTATCTCTGTCCCAAGTAGATCATGTAGCCACTGTCTCTGCTGCCTTGTAGACTCTCCGAACCGCCTCTGTTGAAATATGAGCGGCGGGGCTGTGTCCCCAACACCCCGGCTGCTTGGCTAGCTCATGCCCGAAATAACAACACACAAACTGTATTCATTTAAGAACTGCTTGGCCCCTGAACTCTAGCCCTTACAGGCTAATTCTCGCACCTGGACTAGCCCATTTCTAATAATATGTGTAAGCACCCCAAGGTGCGCTTACCGGGAAGAGTCTAGCCTCCGTCCATCATGGTGTCTCTGCTCCAGAGAGCAGCTGTTGGGTCTCTCCGGGAGCAGAGCAGAGTCTGACCTCACTTCCTCTTCCGCCCAGCATCCTATCCTGTTCACTCCGCCCACCTATCTTATAACCTATCAGAACCAGCAGTTTCTTTATTGCTCAGCCAATGAAATCAACAGATTGATATATGACACTCCCACATCACGCCTCGCTCTCCTTGCCGTCTGTGAGTCTCGGGACAGAATTCAGATGTGGTTAACCCTGGCCACCCAGTTCTCTTTGCCAGTTGCTCCTGGAGATTTTCTTACCTTTGTTCCTTGCTCCACACATCTCTCTCCCACCAACTCCACGACCCACCTGCTGCCTCCTACCTGTGGTCATCTTTCCATCTCTTCCTCTTCCACCTCCTCTTTCTCCTTTTCTCTTTTGTTTTCTGAGAATCCAAAGCATATGTGCTCCCTTCTTGATGTCGAGACTTGTGTAGGACTCAGGGTGGATTCTGTATTACTGACTTTTCCCAGCCCCTTGCATTAGAAATCCCCGTGGCCCAATTGATTTTCTTGATTCATATCTAAAACACTTGAACTGACATTTTGCTGATTCAAAAAAAAATATGCAGCTTTAATTCCAGGAACACAAAGAAAAAATTTGCTGCATGGTATGCAGCTGTAAAGCTTTATCTTTTTAAAAACGCATCATTATGACAGACGAGCAGGGACGCTGTATATATGCTTAGCTGTATAAAAGACCGGCAGTAAAACCTCTTTACAGCAGGCTTGTTTTCCTTAGGACAGTCATCCTCGGAACAGATATGTGATCTGAAACCAATCTCAATGTGACTTTCCTTCTACACAATACTTTTTGCTTTTTAAAAATTCTATAGCTTTCAAATGATGTGTCTGTGTGTGTGTGTTTCTGTGTTCTGTGTGTGGGGGTACAGGTGCCTGAAGAGGCCAGAAGGGGCTGGATTCTCTGGAGCTGGAACTACTGGCCATTGTGAGCTTTCCCTGGTAGATGCTGAAACTGAGCTTGGCTCTTCTGCAAGAGCAATATGCGCTCTTAACTGCTGAGCCATCTCTCCAGCCCCTACTCAATGTTTTAGCTTAGTGTTTTTTTTTCCTAAAATCATACTACAAGTAAAATGAACTGTTTTTAAAATAAATAATTCAAGAACTTCCAGTTCATTGACAGTGTTGTGCAAGCTCCTCCTCTATACAGCTCCAAAATATTTTCTTTATTCTGAAGTTAGAGTTCTTGGCCCCTGAGCAGCTTCTCAACCCCTCCCCATCACTCTCAGCCTCTGGTATCCATCAGTGTGCACGCCATTGCCATGGATTGGTCTACCTTGAATATCTCATGTAAATGGAATGACATTAGGTTTCTTTTATTTAGGATAAGAAATTTCAAAATTGTTGGTTATCAATATGCTTAAAAATAGCAATAATAAATCTGTGATGCTTCAACAAAACATAGTTTTAAAATATCAACGTGTTTGGAAGTAAGATAAAAATTAAGAAATCGACATTGCTTACCTTTTATAATCTCCTAAGCATCTGGTTCTGCAGATGACAGCTAGGTTCTCATTTATGTTTCCGGGTTTGGTCTGTAGTGATGATGTAAACCCTAACCACGGCGATGCGCCATTGTGTGCCTGGCAGAGCAATTACAGCAAATGAGTGTGGCGGCAGTGGCAGCAGTGGTGGTGGTAGTGGTGGTTTTGGTGATGGTGGTATCCAGCAGTCAGATATCTTGTAAAAGGCATAAAAAGGCCAGATCTTTTCAACTGTCCATTTCTAGCCTGTGACCTGCCTACTTTGTTGGTCTGTGACTGCAAAGTATTTTGGTTTAATTTGTACTTTCTCAGTTTTCATGTTGAACTGCTTTTCTTGTTACTCTGTAGTGGGTTATCTGCTGCCTTGTCCAGGGTTTTAAAGCATGAAAGCGTTTTGTTTACTAATTAATTTCGTGTGCATAGCAAATGCCTTCTCTCGTAGTCTTTGAGAGATTTTTTTTAATTTAAATTTAAATTTTATGTGCATTGGTGTTTTTCCTGCATGTATGTCTGTGTAAGGATGCCAGATCTCCTGGAACTGGAGTTACAGACAGCTGTGAACTGCCTTGTGGGTGCTGGGAACTGGACCTGAGTTCTCTGGAAGAGCAATCAGTGCTCTTAACCACTGAACCATCTCTCCAGTTCCCAGAGATTTTTAAAATACCTCTTTGTAGTGCTTGTCTCAGAATTTTAGATCTTTAATATTATATTAATAGTTTTAGTAGCTTTGCCTGTCCTGTATGTGTGTGTGTGTGTGTGTGTGTGTGTGTGTGTGTGTGTGTGCATGTGCGTGTGCACGTGCATGCACGCACTCTGGAATCAAATATATTCTTTTGCATCTTAATTCCTTGATTTCAGTGCAACTAATTTTCCTTTATGCACATGAAGTTAAATTCTGTCGCATCCTTTCCCCATGCTAACTATCAGGTAGCACTGTTTGCTGAACAATAAGTTCTTCAACATCTGTCTGGAATGTTGTCACTTCCAAGGTCAGGTCTCTTTGCCCCCACTGTGCCCTGTGGCTCTTCAATCCTGTTCATCCATTGAATTTCTGAGTTTATTATATAGGGAGGTGGTTACCATTGGTCAAAAGAAAGTACAACTAAATCGCTGGCAGGTCATGTTTCCTTGCACAAATGTTTCTTTTAAGACTTAGTGTATGTGTGTGTGTGTGTGTGTGTGTGTGTATGTGTGTGTGTGTCTTTCTTATGGCACAACTAGACATTTGCATCTATCATTTTGCCAAGCTGCGTACGTACCAGTTAGGGTTTTATTAGAATTGTACTGAATTTGAAGTAGGTTCAGGGTAGATGTAGGTATTATTTTAACTACATCTCATATTGACACTAGAGCAATGTAACTGTTAACTTCTCTTCATTAAGAAACAAAGCAAGCGATTGGAGAGATGGCTTAGTGGTTAAGAACACTGACTGTTTTTCCCAGAGGATCTGGGTTCAGTTCCCAGCACCCACATGGCAGCTGACAACTGTCTGTAACCCACTCCCTGGGGTATCTGACGGTCTCTTCTGGCTTCTGTGTGCATCAGGCACACACATGATGCATAGACATGTATCCAGGTAAAACATCCATACACACGTCAAAACATTCATACACATAAACAAAAAACAAAACTCCCAAAACAAAGAGTAAGAGTCATTTATCAAATCTTTGGAGGAGACAAGCAGTTCATACTTGACTTTTGGGAGGCTGTGTGAGATCATGCTGCAGGTAACAGTGCTTCCTATGAAATGTGAGAGCTACTCCTAGAAGCCACCCTGGCACCTCCGCACACACAGACAACAATAGTAAATAAAATAAAATAAAAAAGTCCTAAGAGGATTGCCCTCCCCACCATGACCTTGTTTTCATATGGTGGCTAAGATTTAAGTGTTTACAAAGCAGGAGTTAGGGAGGTGGGGCAGGAGAGAGGACATACAGACCTCGGCATTAAAATCGAACTAACCAAAAGCCAGGCAATTGCATTGTTTTCATGCGGAGACAAGTGGTTATTTTTTCATCTGAATGGATAAGGAGACAGATTTAAAAAACAAACAAGCCTACAGTTACTTAGTATACCACATTTGGTTCAGAAGCATAAAAATACCTTTATTACTAATTAAAATAATGGATGCAGGTGTGCATTTGTGTGCACCAAGATGGAGCCCTGTTGATGTAGATGCAGGATATTCAGCCAGTTGCTGGATATGTAAATTCTGTTTGGCCAGGAGATGACGTGTTGTCTGATCCAGTAATTCTACTTTAGGAAATCTCTGCTAAGTTAGAGGATGACAATGTAGAAACACTATACACAAAACGACTTTTTTTTTTTTTAGGCCCTTTGTCAAAGTACAGATTTCAGGAATGTCTATAGGTTCAGCTGAATGGAAGCATGTTGTAAAAGTCAGTGAACACATGCATGGATTCTCATATAGGTATTCATGTAATGGTTTCTTAAGAATGAGATAATGCAGCCCAGGTGTGATACTGTAGGCCTTTAATTCCAGAAGGCAGGGTAAGGTGGATCTCTGAGTTTGAGGCCAACCTGGTCTACATAACGAGTTCCATGCTAGCTAGAGCTACACTTTGAGACCCTGTATCAGAGAGAGAGAGAGAGAGGGAGAGAGAGAGAGAATACGAAATATGCACATGTGATAACATAAATGAAAAAAAAACCAAAAAGATCAAGAATAAATTGGCTTTATAATTGAATAAGATCTCTTGACCCAGTGAAATCATGCTTCTAATTTTGTCATGCTTTGTGTGTTTATTTGCTGGTTTGGTTTTGGGTTAGTATTGATCATATGTGCATTATTGGCGGCCTGGAACTTTGTGAGGCTCTATGTTGTATTGGATATATGGCGGTCAAATAAATACACGTGGTTATTTCAAGCCATGCCATTTCAACAAGAGCTTAGAGAAACAAAATTTGACTTAAACACACACACACACACACACACACACACACACACACACACACACACACACACGTGTGCATGCCAGTGCTTACATATCACAGTCATCACATCCTGTTGACTATTTCTGTTTCGTTACATCCTTATTTCAGCTCACCCCAATGTCCAAAAGGTGGTGCTAGTATCATCTGCTTCGGATATGCCTCTGCGAGCCCCAGAGATCTCAGTTCCCGCTGATCTGGATAAAACCATCACAGAGCTGGCCGACTGGCTGGTATTGATCGACCAAATGCTGAAGTCCAACATTGTCACTGTGGGAGACGTGGCAGAGATCAATAAGACAGTTTCCCGGATGAAAGTAGGTGCAGAATGGAAAGGCTTGCCAAGGCAATCCCCCTCACCTTGGATCTCATTTGTTTATCCTAAATTCTGAGGAAAGGAGATTTAAAATATTCCTTCTCTGCCAGGCAGGGCCAAAGAAAAAAGTTTTCTTCTCTTAGCTCATGTTGGGCAAACAGAACTGAGGACTTTGGTGTAAAACTCCAATACTGTTGCCATACAGCTGGGCATAGCTTGTCTGTAAACTGCTCTTCCATTTAATGCCCAGTATAGTATAGGATAATTTCTAAAAGTATGTTTTTCTTTCTGATCTTATAATAAGTTCACTTACTTCTGACCTTTGAATGTCTTCTGACTATATATATAAGAAAAAATATATATATCTTCTTAGAAATGAATGTCTTCTAATTATATATATTTTCATTAAGAGAAAAAATACACAGCACATATATATGTGCATTTTTTTCTCTTAATGAACATTGTCCACCAAGCAGCAACTTGGAAAATTATTTTTCCATATCTAGTATATTATCTCTATAGAGCAACACTGAAAGAAATATTCTAAATAGAAATACACAATAAAATAATAGCTATTCCTAACGTCTACTAAGTGCTTAACGTGGGATGAACATTTTCTTATTTTCGCATGTATTATCTCATAACAATTTGGTGACAACGGCGCTGATTTATTCCCATGTTTCCAAGAGCTCCACGTGTGTAAGACTGTGGTTCTCGACATGTGGGTTGCGACCCCTCTATATTTCACAGTGGTTGCATATCAGATATCTTGCGTATCATTTATTTACATCAAGATTCATCATAGTAGCTAAATGGCAATTATGAAGAAACAGCAGTAATAATTTTATGGTTGGGTTGTAACCGCAGCATGAGGAACTGTATTAAAGAGTTTGCAGCATCAGAAAGTTGCTAACCTTTGCTATAAGAGGTCAAGGAGGTAAGCACATCAAACAGACATGTTTCTCTGGCAAAGAAGTTTCTAGTAAGTGTCACAAGGGTTGTCAGCCACCTGTTAGAGGAGACGGGCTGAGGAGTGGGTGGGATGCTTCAATAGCCATGCGTTGGAGGTGGGCTTTTTATTTATTTATTTATTATGTATACAATATTCTGTTTGTGTGTATGCCCGCAGGCCAGAAGAGGGCACCAGACCCCATTACAGATGGTTGTGAGCCACCATGTGGTTGCTGGGAATTGAACTCAGGACCTTTGGAAGAGCAGGCAGTGCTCTTAACCTCTGAGCCATCTCTCCAGCCCCTGGAGGTGGGCTTTTGAAATATAATGTGAATGCCGTTGTGCATTGCAGACGGACAGCTTGAGTTTGATAGGGAACTTTATCAATGTTTTATGCAAGAGTATTTTTTTTCTTTTCTTTTTTCTTGGAAGTGATGCTTTGGAAAAGCAACTTAATTCTTTGAGGAGGGGCTCACGAAGCTGCGTAAAGCCCTGCGGACTCTAAGAGTCTATAAGCAGCTGGCAAGCATCACTCCCCATTTCTTTTTGTTTTCTGAATTGTGGCTGGGAGCCGCTGATAACAATGCTTTGCTTTAGTAGAAGGTGAGGATGGATGGCAGGCAAGAGATGCTTAAATCACAGAAAAGAGCCCTTTGTGAGGGGCTGAGATGCTGCTGCTTCCAGACAGAGGAAGTGGAAAGGAGGAAAGTGGAGCACAAATGAGCATTTGAGTAACTTAGTTTTGAATTTGTTGTGCCAAGGGAAGGAAGTCGGCAGCCTTTGTAGAATCAAGCCCTGGGATCTAGAAGTGAAGCTTGAGTCATTACTTTGGGAGTGCTTGTCCCTGGAGGAGCGAGTGAGAGCTACAGAATTAGTGAGCTCATAGCAAGATGGCTGGGCAAATCCTCTCACTTGCTGTTGGTACTGCGAGCTGTGTTTTCTAATCTTTATGGTATTTATTTGCTCTATAATTAAAATAGACTCTTCCTGGAATTCTGAGTCCCTGTCTTATTTATCAGCTAAGACACATAGTCCATGAACAAGGGGTGGCTCATTTTAAAGTTGATTCATTTGCAGTTACTGTAACTATTGCTTTTCTAATATGCCGTTTTCATCTTTATAGGGCAATGGTTCTCAACCTTCCCAGTGCTGAGACCCTTTAATACAGTTCCTCAGGTTGTGGTGACCCCAACCATAAAATTATTTTTTTGTTGCTACTTCATAACAGAATAGCTATTTTGCTACTATTATGAATCATAATATAAATGTTTTTGGAGATAGAGGTTTGCCATAGGGGTCATGACCTACAGGTTGAGAACTGCTGTTCTGGGGGGGATCTTTATGTGTATTCATAGCTGATATTGAACAGGGGCACAAGGAGTCAGCAGCAATAATCTCTAATGTTTTCAGAGCATTTTCAAGGAGCGTGCCTTGATTTAATTTCCTTAGACGATGTAACTGAGCTAGGGGCAACATGGGAAGGGTGGTTCTCTCTCCTGGTTACTCCGTTGCTTCCTGGAAGATCTGAGATTTGAACTCAAGGCCTGTGACTTCAGATCAAGGACTCTTCCTCTGATGCATTGCCGATACTTGGTTGCCTCTTAGAGAAGAAAACGTCCAAACGCTACCTTCAAACTTGTTTGCAGTTAGGGACTTGTTGTATGATGCCTTAATCCCCCTCCATCTTGTCTCTTGCCAGATCACAAAGGCTGATTTAGAACAGCGCCATCCCCAACTTGATTATGTATTTACATTGGCACAAAATTTGAAAAACAAAGCTTCCAGTTCAGATGTGAGAACAGCAATCACAGAAAAACGTAAGTTTAAAAAAACCCATATATTCTATAGAATATCAGCCACTCTCAATGTTCACACACATCTTCAAAGATTACTCTGCTGGAGATTGTTATTTGGTAACTGATACTCTTCGTTTAGGAGGAAATAGTTCTCTCTCTTTTCATTTTTTGAAAGCCTCCACATACATCTCTTCTGAACTCTTATACATATTTTTTTCTCTTATGTTAGTGTTTTTTTAAAGACATCTGCTGGAACAAAGCTATCCAAGCTCCTAGTCACACAAATCCATTCTGCCATTTCTCTCCACTCACTGAAGCTAGGTATCACCATTTCTTCTACACTTCCCTCAGAATTCACTCCATACGTGCTTTGTGATTGGCTTCATGTGGGGATGCCTTAATTAACAGGATAGTTAAACAACCAATAAAATGAACATATGAAATATTTGCGGAGATATGTCCCTGTTTGGAGTTAGTGGTTGAGTTAAGGTTCTATGTTTGTTTAGTACACAGAACCAAGTCTGGATTCTGAGGAATGGTGTCTGGTGGCCTTCGTTTTCTTTTTCCTCTGTCCCTGAGCCCTGCAGATCCCTGCCCACTCTGGATCATGGTTCAAAGCTCCTGGTGCTTCTGCCTATTTCCTTCTATTTCCACTTTGTCTGCTTTGTTTCTTTGTTTCCATTTTGGTCTCTTCTCCACTGGAGAAATTACTCAGCAGCTAACATGTCACCCACTTCGTGTCTCCTGCCCACTCACCCGTGTTCCCCAGTGGACCCCGTTTCTTCTCTTTCATTCCTGCTACAGCCTCATTCCCCATTAATCCACTGTAGATCTCTTAGCTCCATTCATTTTCTCTCCCATGTGCAGACTTGGCCTCTGGGCCTCCCATTAGGTGGACTTCAAAAACTTAGTAAATACATATGAGAATATAGACTGGGTGAGCAAAGTTGAATTTTTCTTGAGGGAAGGAAGTCAGCTATAGGTGTGGTAGATGCTTTCTGTGTCAAAATAAATGGAACAGTGTGGTTACTAAAGGAAATGATGGGAAATTTCAGTAACTCATTTCTACTCAAAGAGACACTCTGTGTCAAGTTTCCTGAGTTTGTTCACTAATTGATTATGGATCTTGTACAATGGGGGACTCGGGAGAGATCTGTCCTCTCTCTCTTGGTGGGAGAACTCTGTTCCTGGCCATAAACCCTTTCCAGCAGCCTTCCATTTTGCTTTATGATCATCATCTTATCAGGACTTACTTTAATAGATCTTTTTAAAGGCACAAATTGGACTCAAACTTGCCTTTTATTTATAATTATGCTACCTCCACTTCCTGGGCTCTAGGACTGCTGGCTGGCATCACTTTGTCAAGCTTCCCTAGTGTTGCTGCATGAGCCTAGGACTTTCTGCACGCTAGGAAAGTGCTCTCTTGGCTGAGCTAGAGCCCACCTCTCATTATTATTATTATTATTATTTCCATCTTCCCCTCCTCCACTTATTTCTGTCTCTGATCTCTATCTCCTCCTTCTTCTCTTTCTCCTCATCCCTCACCCACTTTCCCTCCCTTACCCAATTAGTCTTCATCATTACTTACTGTATATAAAGAGCCCTTATCAGCTTGTGTGTCACTAATAGTAACTTGTGTTCACCATTTACAATGAATAAGAGAATTTGTTCGATACTTTATCTTGTATTTGTTCAAATTAATGAGCTGTATCAGCAATAGAATTGGCAATAAGTACTTTATTTGAGTTTTTAACCGAAAACAAGAGTATCACGATAGTTTTATCTTCCTGTTCCTTGAGTTAAAACCTTCAGCAATTCCTTTACATCATTAAAACAACCTAACATAAAACGTATCTCACTGGATAATTTTTAAAAATTATAACTCATTGAGCAGTTTAATAGAGTTTATGACATGAAAGTCCTTTAGCCTTCTGAACAACTCTAAGCCGATAGTATGAACAACATGGAAATATGTGCATCAAATGTATGTTGGTACCCGTGGAGGACACAGTGGGGCGCTGGATCTCCTAGAAGGAGTAAGACGTAGTGTGAGCCTCCATTTGGGTTTTGGGAACCGAACCTGAGTCTTTTGCAGGAGCAGCAACTGCCGAGCCATCACTCCAGCTAGGGCTTGATCTTCTCAGCCCTTGCGATTGTCTCATGTCTGGAGCATCACTGCCGCTCGTGTTTGCCATCTGTGGGCTGATATGTAGAACTTTTATTTATTGATATTTCAGCTCACCATCATGAACTTTCCCTGTAGTAATGAACCAAATGTTTAAATTTCCGTAGATCTTTCTTTTTTAGATACAAGATTTAAAAATAAAAACAAAAAGAAAGGAGAGGATAGAGTAGTATTCTTGGAGAGGGAAAGGAGAGAAGGTAAGGAAAAAAAAAAGACACAGAGACAGATACAGAGGAAGCAAGAGTGGGAGAAAGAGGAGAAATAGTAGTGGGGATAGGAAGGTAAAATGCCAGCAAGAAATTTTATGACTGTGAGCTCACAGGTAAACAGAATTTGTAATTTCTTATTCTCAGTATTTCTGATGAGCTTGAAGATATAAAAAACATTGCCTGCTTATAAGACCTCATGCCCAAGCAGGGCAAATCTAAAAAGTGCTCTTTCCTGAGAGACTCTCCACTGCAGGCATATGGATACTGTGCCTCTGTGTTAAGTGTTATCATAGAGCACCATTAGGTATTGCCATTGTCAAACCAAATTACGTGACTGCAGAAACTAGGGAACTGTCTTTAATTTTTATTAGTTCGGTAGACATTTTTTTATTAAATGATTAGCACATTAATATTAATGGTATTCAAATCCCCCCCCCCCAGGAATACTTTTAGAAAAATGTCTGGATGAGGTGTAACAGGTCTGTATCAAGCTACTTGAGATACTGAGGCAGGGGAATTACAAATTCAAGGCTAGACTAGGAAATACACGCAGGCTCTGACTTAAGTAGATAAAGCAATTTAGAAGAGGTGTAGATGTAGCCCAGTGGTAAAATTATCATTGTGTGTAAAACACCCTGGGTTGAGCCCAGCACTGAAGGAAGGAAAATTGGTGAGCTGGGCCTGGTGGCTTGTGCTAATAATCTCAGCACTCAGGAAGCTGAGTCAGTAGAATCTCAAGTTGGAGCTAACATGAGATACAAAGCCACTTTATCTATCTATCTATCTATCTATCTATCTATCTATCTATCTATCATCTATCTATCTATCATCTATTTTTATCTATGTATTTATATAGCATACTACAATGTATAATACTTATTATTATACATTGCACATACTTGCTGAGCCATCTTTCCAGCCTCTCTCTTGTATGTATGTATTTTTGTATGTTTGTATGTATGTATGTATGTATGTATCTATCTATCTATCTATCTATGTATCTATCTATCTATCTATCTATCTATCAATCATCTATCTATCTATCTATCTATCTATCTATCTATCTATATCTATCTAGTTGAATAGCATTACTAACTATATAATATATAATAATATATACATAAAATTGTGGCTGGCACACTTTAGAGCCCCTTTAAGATGTGTTTCTCACGTTTCCCTCTGTCTGTTTCTAGACCTATTCATGACAAACTTAGAATTAGTTATTTTTCTCCCCCTGAAAGTCACTTCAGAGAGTTTCTTTTTCTCCTGCTGCCCAGTGGAAAAGGTGAAGACCCAGTGGGAGAGCACACAACATGGGGTGGAGCTGAGGAGGCAGCAGCTGGAGGACATGGTGGTGGACAGCCTGCAGTGGGATGACCACAGGGAAGAGACCGAAGAGCTCATGAGAAAGTATGAGGCTCGCTTCTACATGCTTCAGCAGGCCCGGCGTGATCCACTGAGCAAACAGGTTTCCGATAATCAAGTAAGACGCATTGGATAATTTTTGGTGGTGTCATTTGTTGGGATTATTTTTCTTATATTGTTAACTATATATGGCCTTTCATATTTTCCCATGTTCTTAGACATACATGTAGAGATGTATAGTGATCGAATCATAAAGTTTTTGTTCTATGGGGAAGCTGTCTAAAGATATGGCAAACAGAAGCACTCATTTATGCAATTAGAGCCATAATTAACATTTATAAAGGAAACCCCATTCAATGACTTTTTTTTTTTGCTTATTCTGGAGATTATTTCATTTGACTACTTCTGTAGTGTGCAAGTTAGGTCATAAGTAAGTGTGGTTTCTCTAATGTCTATGTTTTATCAGTAGCAGCAAGTAGTGATCAATTTTGTGATCAACTTCTTTATAGTGTTGAGAAAATTGAACAATTATGGTTCAAGCATGTCATTTAAAAATTTCTACTACAATCATTGAACATTTCTTGTGTTGGATGTGTGGTTACACTTTGCTGTAACATTGTATTTTCTCTTCAGATAGCCTGAAATGAAAATGTTTAGGAAGAACATAGTAATCTAGAAAATGCGGGAAACAAATTGAAAACCTGCAAATAATGCTTTAAATCTCTACACAAGAGCATTTCTCATGGGTATAATTTAAAATCCAACTGGCCAACTCTATTAGTTTCTGAATTACTCTATATGCTTATGGTTCTTGTTGATTGTCCCAAAGTAATAGCAAAGCTTTTGTACATATGACTAGAGGAATCCAATTAAAACACGGTCACCAGTGTTCCCATCCTCATACCCAGAATGCACTTGGCCATCATGTCTTCAATATCCATGCCTACAGATTTTAAACTGAATACAGTTTTTTGTTCGCTTGCCATTATTCTGTGAACACATTATTATGACAACTAAATTATGAAACACCGATGTCATTTTAACAGCCAGTGGTTCTCAACTTCCCTAATGTTGTGACCCTTTAATCCAGTTTCTCAAGTTATGGTGACCCCCAGCCATAGGATTATTTTTGTTGCTGCTTCATAACTGTAATTTTGTTACTGTTATGACTAGTGATGTAAATATCTGATACGCAACTCCCGTGAAAGGGTCATTAGACGCCACCCAAAGGGGTCACAGACCACAGGGTGAGAGCCACTGTTTTAAGCAATATGAGTAACTTCCAGGAGATTTCGAGTAACTTCCAGGAGATTTGCGGTATACTGGAGGATGGGCACAGGTTTTTGTGCACACGGTATGCCGTTCAATCTAAGGGGCGTGTGTAGATTTGGTATCCATAGAGGGGGAGGGTTTGGGAGCAGTCTTTCACACTTACTGTGCACTTGTGCTCTGCTACCCGAGCGAACATGTGTATGTGTTTCTTCTGAAACCTTCAGGTGGATTTTATTTTTATTTTTATGATTGCTACAAAAAGCATTACAGGAACATTCAGCTGTCATTTGGATTTCATGGAAGTATCTTGATCGATTGAGAGACTCTTTCCAGGGCTGAGAAACTGTGATGGGGGCTGCTGCCTGTGGTACCCTGAGTGTCTGTAATGACATTTAGGCAAATGCCTAACAAATCTTGATCCATTCGAACTGTTGTCCTTGCAAACACTCAGAGTGATCCAGGTGTAAAAGACAGGGTGATCAAAGGGTAAGAGGCAGAGTGATTCACAGTTAAGGTACAGAATGATCCAGGGGCAAGGGACAGAGGATTTCTACCATGGAAATTGCTGACATAGCTCAAAACACATATAAAACTCAGCTTATTCTAATATGATTCATGTTTTCTGAGAATCTGATATACAATAACAACAACATAAAAATTGAAACTGTCAAATGGCTTGAGGAAGACAGAATGAAGTCAAATGGTTCATCTTTTACTATCTGGTACTTTGTACCTGATTTCTGAGGCAATTTCTCTTTTAAAGATTTATTTTAATTATTTTTTAAGTATGTGTATATGTGTGTTAGGGAGAGTGGGCATGCGCACATGAGTGTAGGTGGCTGTGGAAGTCAAAAGAGAGTGTCTTCCTCCGGAAGCTGGAGTTCCAAGCAATCTTTAGCTGACCCAGTGTGGGTGCTAGGAACCAAACAGGTCTTCAAGAACAGTGCATGCTGAGCCAGCTTTCCAACCCCTCCTCAGGCATTTCCTTCCTTCCTTCCTTCCTTCCTTCCTTCCTTCCTTCCTTCCTTCCTTCCTTCCTTCCTTCCTTCCTTCCTCCCTTCCTCCCTCCCTCCCTCCCTCCCTCCCTCCTTCCTTCCTTCCTTCCTTCCTTCCTTCCTTCCTTCCTTCCTTCCTTCCTTCCGCTACTCTAGAATTAGTCTGATTCAATTCAAAATAATAAACTGGAGACTTTGTCCTCTTATATGCTTTCTTCTTGTGGTTTTTGTGTCTAAAATGTGTTAAAACTTCCCAGGAATACCAGCGTTGTTTATTACTAGTTTCTGAGTGACAAGTACTAACAGCTATGCCTCAACTTACACCTTAGCTGTTGCTTCAAGAACTGGGTTCCGGTGATGGTGTCATCATGGCATTTGATAACGTCCTGCAGAAACTTCTGGAAGAATACAGTAACGATGACACAAGGAATGTGAAAGAAACCACTGAGTACTTGAAAACATCATGGATCAATCTCAAACAAAGGTAACTTGAAAGCCTTGGCAGGAGCATGTGCATTGCTTACTTGAGAATCCAATTTCCATGGCTTTCTCATGGAAACAGACTAAATACGCTAATTATTAGAAGTGTATTTTACTATTTTTTTCTACTTTTAAATTATGATGAACAAAGTACACATTATTATACAGTGTGTGTATTTGTATATGTTCGTGAAATCGTGCAATGCATTTTTCTTTAAATAAACCTTGCTAGTAATTTTTAAAAAATTTCTTATGCCACTTTGTATTATTTAGAATAGATTTTGCAGTTCTTTGGTATGGAACACAGGTAGTTGTAACTACTTCAGGCTGGTATTAGTATTAATTGCTACCATAATAGTGTGTGATATTTGCTGGGCCATCCTCAGATGAGGAGCAGACACCTCGATTTACTACCTGACCTCTGAAATAATCTAAGTGCAGAGTTTTGGTTAATTTCTTGTCTTTTTTCCCCATCCTTGTTGTCTAGGCAGCATGTCTAGAACAACCTGAAACAACACGTGCTTATAAGAGAGATTCGTCTTGTAGGGTGTGAGAAAGCATAAGTAGTAGTTAGCATTTTTTCTGATTGCATGTTTATGTCCGTCATCGGTTAAAAAGTATTTATTTTATACATCATACTGGCAGTGCCTCTATATAAGTGTAATTATGGTTTCCCAAACATCTTTTCTAGGCTATTAACGATTTTCTGGAAATAATTTTGATATCAAACTATGCTTATTTTGCAGTGGATGAATTTGATATCAGAATGCTTTGTGATGTAGTTATTTCAATAATTTTTTGGTAACTCAACATGGAAAAACTTTTGTCTTTAGATTTATTTCTCTCTCTCTCTCTCTCTCTCTCTCTCTCTCTCTCTCTCTCTCTCTCTCTCTCTCTCTCTCTGTGTGTGTGTATGTACTCATGGGTGCTCCTGCATTGGTGTAGAAGTCAGAGCACAATGTAGAGAAGTTGGTTCTCACAATCTACCGCATGTTTTCTGAAGACTGAACTCAGGTTTTTAGGCTTGGTGCAAAGCACTGAACCCACCTAGTTAGACTTCTATGTGTCATTTTTAGTTAGATTTTATAGTGGTTCTGCAAAATCCGTGAAGAAGATTATAAAGGAAGAGCATGAGCATGCGTGTGTGTTAGGCTATGATGGGAGAACATGAACATGTGTGTATGTTAGACTATGATGGGTGAACATGAACATGTGTGTATGTTAGACTGTGATGGGAGAACATAAACATGTGTGTATGTTAGACTATGATGGGAGAATATGAACATGTGTGTATGTTAGACTATGAGGTGAGAACATGAACATGCATGTGAGTTTGACTCTGAGGGAGAGCATGGGCGTGCATGTGTGTTAGATATATACTCAGGTTCCAGATAGAGGCCTCGACAAACACACAACTTTGTGAAAAGTTGAATCTGAATGGTTGTAATCTTGCTATGTTTAGCAGCATAGTGTTCTCACACCATGACACATGGTTTGGATGACCTCGTAACTAAGATGGGGAGGAAGGTGAAAACAGCAGTGAGTGAGATAATCCTTGAAGCTGTTTTATCTGTGAGCAGAAATTTCATGAGTAAGAGACGTCTTTGTTTTTATTATAAACAACCTCCCCCTTCACAGACACAGAAAAGTTGACCACTCACTTTAGGATGTGCAGTCTGCTTTGTTTAAGGCTTTTCTTGCCTTTGTAGATAGCGTCAGACAACCCACGTCTGCAGTGAAATTAGATGGAGGAGGCGATGAAAAATGAATTATATTCCAAGGTCATTTTTCCTTCCTCAAAGTGGAGATGGCCGCAGAGCCCCAGTTCTGTTGTAGTTGCAAGGACTGGCTCTGCTTTATTCTCATTTTATATTATTTTAGAAAGAAGAAGTCACTAATGTGTATTTAGACATGATTTAGATAATAATGGTATTTATACTGTTGGGGAAATACAGCAAAACTGTGGCTCAGAGGTTCCTTCCCTAGTGACGGCTTAGGGCTTCTATATTGAAATTCTGTGTGTTTCAAATCTTTATCCTAAAGAGACATCTCTCAGGATATATAAACTGTTCCTTACATTCTCAAACAAGGTAAGCGGTTATATTAGCGTTCTTTTGGGTTCTTGTCATTGCTGTTATAAAGACAGACTGACAAGTTTCACAACCACTTTAGGCCAGTGTTTTTTTTTTTTTTTTGACTTCTAATATTATCTCCCAGAAGATGCTCCCCTACCCTGAAATTTTGATTAATTAGTTAATGGATTATTTCAGAGGCAGAGTCTTACTATTGTAACGAAACTTGCCGTGTAGCTCAGGCTAGGATCAAACTTGCAGGCTTCCCGCATCAGCTTTGAAGTTTTATTAACAGCGGAATATATTTCATGCACTTAAGCTTTAGAGTCAGACAGAAAAGGAGTAAAATTTTCTACCCCTGCTCTGGGGTTAGATCCACTTACCACCTCCTTTGAGAACCGGTAGGCTAACCTCACACTCCCAAGTTCAATGAAGTCAAATGCTGTGTTTAAAGTCATGCAGAACAGACAAATGATACTTGTTAAGACTAAAGGGTGGCAGTACTACCCATGCTCTCCATTCTGAAGCATGGGTGGAAATCTTAAGGAGTTACCGTCTCTTGTGAGTGTCCTCCATGGTGTTAGTGTGTAGATCAGGGTGTCCTCTCATTGTCTTTCCCTGTAGTAAGCACTACACACCTACACCACTCTCCTGTAAGTCTCCCATAAGTCTTAAGGGACCGGAAGAGTCTTAATCAACATTACATTGGCTGTAAATGGAAGCACAGAGATGGTAAACAGTTCCTCAGGGTCACACAGCTCATTCAACACAGCTGGGATTAGAATTCGGGCCCTTTTGCTTATACAGCCAGGCTTTTTCTTTAGCAAGGGTTTAATTTTTCTTCTTTGTTATCAGAATGTCAGCTATTGGTAGTGAATGCTCGCGCTGTGCCCTGGCTCCTCAGATCTGTCTGTGATTCTATTTACCGCTTCTTATCTGCTCTGTGTGTAGAGAGCAGATGAGATGAAAGATACGAGAGCTTCTGTGACTGATATAGCAACCTCCAGTTCAGGACTGTGCCACTCCGATGGCCCCGACAGGCTTTTGTTGTCGCTTCCTCTCACTTCACAGCTGTATTCTGAATACATATCATTGTCAGCAGAATTCTGCAGAGGTGAAGGGTGTTGCACTTGCATAGGCAATAATGTTAGTGACTGTAATGTGTGAAGTTTAATCTCGGCTTTCAGTGGCAATGTTTGGTATGAATTGAAATCAACCATCCACACTTAAAGGCCCTCATTCCTTTATCTTCAATGTCAAAATCCCAATAACATAAAGCTGTCCTTTGATGTGTGGGCCTTTCTTTCTTTCTTTCTTTCTTTCTTTCTTTCTTTCTTTCTTTCTTTTTTGAGGATATTTCTTATAGTCTTTATGTAGCTCAGTGTGAATGGCTTCCTAGAAGTATTAGTATGTTTGATTGCTTCCCTTAACCTACCTGAAGAAGATAATCTGTGATATAGATACATTAATTTCTAATGCGCAAAAACTCTTAGGTTTTTTTTTTTGCTTTGCTTTTTAATGGCAGTTCTGTAATTCTTTATTGCAAATTTAGATAGTTGTAATGTGTTTGTACAAAGCTCAGTATCCCTTATCTGAAATGCTTGGGGCTAGATGTGGTTTGAATTTGGAGACATGTAGGACAGATAAAGGAGATGACGCTCAAATCTAAACATGAAATTTATTGTGTTTTAAATGTTCCTTGTAAGTTGGGGAGTGTAGCATGTGTGAGGTCTTGTATCATTCCAGTACTGTATAATTAATTAATAAAACTTCATATTACCTTGTACTTGTTACCTGAAGGTAATTTATATAACATGTTAAGTAGTTTTAAGAAATGAAACAGAATTTTCCACTGTGGCATCATGTTAGTAATCTAAATATATACATATAAATAAATATATCTAAATATGTATATATTTAGATTTTAAAGCATTTGCTTTAGTAATAGTCAATTTTTAGCAAATTCTGGAGTGTAGATGCCTAATTTGGGTCTGAATGGTGTTTATCTCTACTTTTAGGCTCTGCATAGATAAAACAACATTTTATGTGTGTGTATATACACATACATATATGCATATATATGTATATATATTGATGTATATAGGCATGTATATGAATATACATAGAATTATCCATTCTGAAGGATTGTAAATGAAATCAGGTATTGTAACTATGGAATCTCTCCTTGTCCTTACTCCACAAGGCCCTGTTCTCCTCTGCTTATTTTAAGGCATTTCCAGGATGGTACAGAAGGAACAGAGAGCTCGGGGTGAGGTATCTGACAGTCCTTGGTTAAAGTCCCACCATATGCATCTGTCATCTGTGGGAACCCTGAGCAAAGCCTATGTCATCTCACTGACTTTCGCTTTCCCTGGCTCTAAAGCAGAGACCATGTCTGATGCATAGGATTACTGTGACATTAAAAGTCACATATAAAAGTTCTCGGTGTCTGGTCTATTCTCCAAAATATGTCGCCTAGACTACCGCCATGCTGCTGTGTCTTTCTTGCAAGCTCTCACATGTTGTGTGCTTTGTGTGGTTGATGTGCAGAAAGTGAAGCCTGTAGCTGCTTGTTTGTCATACTGATCCCAAAGATGAAGTGCTGGATTATCTGCCTTAATGGATGCATTAGTGATACACTCAGTCTTTATTAGCAGATGAAACTCCTCTAAAAATCCAGTTATTTTGGTTAGTGAAATCATCATGCTTGCTTAATTTATGTTGTAGTCAAGTGCTTTGTGCTAAAGCACAAATCTAACAATCCTGGGAAGAAAAGGGTAGAAAACTTTAAAGTCTGCTCTTTGATGGGCGAAGCCCTGCATACAGTTCAAACCAATGAGCGGAATAACTTTATGTTCTTCTTTTGAGATGATACTGTCTTTTTCATTAATACATGTGGACTGGATGTAGATTACAAGGATTGGCAGATGTT